ACACATTTGTATTTAAAAAAAATTAAAACATTTGCAGTAAAAGATAGTAAAAGCAATAACTTTGGGAAGAAAGAGGTTGATACATTTTTAGTTTGTGTGTATGTTGTGTGTGTGTGTGTGTGTGTGTGTGTTAGAGGGAGAGAGGGAGAGAGAGAGAATGGGGTTTGAACTCAGTAGAGTGAAAAGCAGGCACTCTACTACTTGAACCACAGTCCATTTTGCTCTGGTTATTTTGGAGACGGACAAACTATTTGCCCAGGCTGACCTCTAACTGTGATCCTCCTGATCTCAGCCTCCCAAGTAGTATGATAGGTGTGAGTCACTGGTCCCTGGCACATTACTAATTTTTTTTTTTTAAGCACAAAGTTACAGCTTGGACCTGGAAGGTCCTTCAAAGGCCTGTATATTAAATACTTGGGCCCCAGGGCGGTGCCATTGGAAGGCGGTGGAACCTTTAAGACAGAGGGTGTGTGTGAGGGTAGGTAAGACACCTAAAAAATTAGCTAGCATTTGTTGCCCTCAATGCAGAGAAACTAAAATAGATACCTTAAAAGCAACTGAGGCCAATAGGAGAAGGGGACCAGGAACTAGAGAAAAGGCGAGATTAAAAAAAAATTAACCTAGAAGGTAACACCCACGCACAGGAAATCAATGTGAGTCAATGCCCTGTATAGCTATCCTTATCTCAACCAGCAAAAACCCTTGTTCCTTCCTATTATTGCTTATACTCTCTCTACAACAAAATTAGAAATAAGGGCAAAATAGTCTCTGCCAGGTATTGAGGGGGTAGGGGGCAGAGGGAGGGGGCAGAGTGGGTGGTAAGGGAGGGGGTGGGGGCAGGGGGGAGAAATGACCCAAGCCTTGTATGCACATATGAATAATAAAACAATAAAAATTAAAACAAAAACAAAAACAAAAGTAATAAAAACAAAATGTTAATGTCTTTAAAAAAAGAAAAAAGAGGGCCCAGGGGGAGGTCTTCAGGTAACTGGGGGCATGTCTCTGAGGGCATTGCAGGACTCCAGTCCCATCCTCTGTCCTCTTTCACTTTTTGCTCCCTGGCTCCTGGCGTGAGTGCTTTGCTCCATCCTATACTCCTGTGATGTGTTTCTTCACTGTAAGCCCAAAGCAACAGTGCCAACCAGCCATGGCCTGAATATTCAAGACTATGAGCCAAGATGAACATTTGCTCTTGATAAGCTGTTACAGCAATAAAAGCTGACTAAGACTGTATAAAAATGTTTGACGTTAATTTTCATGACTTTTCTGTCTAAATAGTAACTAAAAAGCAATTAAAAACCATCTTCATAAAGTTAATGATAAAAATGACAAAAATATAAAATATGTTGAACAAATATGATAGATCTTATTAAAATAAAATGACAAAAAATACAACCTCAGTGTAGCAAATATAAAACTTGATTCGATGCTACAAGGAGGAACAAACTACTTTGCATGTACCCTAGGACCACCACCTGGATTGTTTCACGTGTTGACCACCAGGGGTGCTAAAGAGTAGCATTCTCAGCAACCACATCCAAGAGAAAGATTTAAACCACTCAACTTGACCCTGAGAAGTGTGAGCCCTGGAAAGTCACACTCATTACTACATGGTCTGGGAGTATGGACTTCAGCAGGTCTGTTGGCCTGGCGAGGAACATGCCTTGCTATAGGGGCAGAGCTCCCAGGAACCAGCGAGTGTGAAGTTGTGTTGGCACCTCCATGTGGCATCTTAGCATCCCTGGACACAGGGCTGAGGCTGTGTCAGGGCTGCAAACGTACAGCTACTCTGCCAGGAGCTGTAAGCATGGGCAGAAATGGGAGATTCTTATCATTACGTCTTATACGTAATGAGACGTATTTTCAATACGTCCTTAATGGAAACAAATTCAAGGAAAAAAAAACAAAGACTGGAGGAACTAAAGAACTAGATTAGAAAAATCCTTTCCATTCTTAAAATCTGCCCAAGGCCAAACCATCTATGTACTGATGATACAGGCCAAGCATCCCTTATCTGAAATGTTTGGGACCAGAGGTATTTCAGATTTCAGATATTTTTGGATTTCAGGTTTTGGAATATTTGCGTATACATGATGAGTTATTTTGGGATTTGGGTCCCAAGTCTAAACACAAAGTTCACTATGTTTCATGTACACCTTATACACAGTGACAATGGCAGGCTCACAGAGGGGCAGGGTCTTGCTCTGTGGAGGCGGAGGTGCCATGTATTTTTAGCTACCACTGCACCTCTCCCCCCTCCTCCATGCTTTCTAGATGAGCATACTATGGAGTACAAAAGGCCCATGTGCATTACTTACAGGATGGAGCGTGGGTGGTCTTCTAACCAGATGCACAAAGGGAGGCTGCATTTTGGGACTGTCTATAGAGATCATGCTTCTTCATGGCCAAACTGCTTGGTGGTGACCATTTCTCACAAACGATAGCAGTATATCTGTTTCCCAGAGTGACATGGGCACCTGTGGCTCCCTAGAACTCAAATCTTCAGGGGATCTGTCATTGGAGGTTTCAACACACCTGCCTCTGTAATGTCAGGTGCTCCACCCCATGTCTGACCTCCTGGTCTAATTTGGTGTTATTGGAAAACCACATAGAACAGCTGACAACCTATGTGGAACTCAATATGATGCTCAATTAGAGGCTTTTCTTGTGTGTTTTAAACCACATTCTTTTTTTTTTTTTCCTGGAATTTATCTAGAGAAAGAGTAGAGATCAGGAAGACAGAAAAGGATGCAGGGTGCAGGTGGTGAGATGCCATGATCATTTTAGAGACCCATCTGGAGTTGCTGGTTATGACTTACTGAAAAGTCAATGAAATTCATGTCCATTGTCCATCTTGCTGATGGGTCATGCCAAACACAGTGCAGTAGTATGGAGGTATGATGGAGGTGCCTACAAACTACCTGCTATATCTTTTGGGTCTCCAATTAAGACCCATGTATATGGTGCACGGAGATCAAACTCTCAGCCCATGGGCCAACAAGGGGTTTTCCTAGGGCATAGAAATGCAAAACTACATGGACCCCACCCTTAATTTTGGCACAGTTACTCTCCATTTGCCATGATTCTATAAGTACCAGACACTCTGACTCGTAATACACAACATATATTACCATGTGTTCTATTGGCACCTACTGACATGTCTACCCACGCGACACTTTCATCGAAGGTTTGATAGGATTGTGTGGAAGGAGGAGGTTCACAGAAGGCAGAGTAACAATGTAATTGTGATCACTGAGCTTCAGTGAACACTATTTTCTTCTCTTTATTGAAGACCTGACAGGCCACAGAAACTATACATCCAACCAAAGGAAAATGGATCATCAAAAATGATCCATTTTTTCCACAGCAAACAGGCTGCTTTAGCACCTCAAAAATGTGTGGAACTGAAAATTTTGCAGGGGTGGAGGATGGCCACTTGTCACTCACATTTGACATCAACATGACCAGGAAAGATATGAAATCCAAATCGGTAATTTACTGCTGTTGTTAAATTTGTTTGGAGAGGAGACTGAAGTTATCAGTAAAACTGAAATTTTCATGCTATCTATTCATCTTGTCATGCCTTAGAACAGCAAAATGATAAATGGCTCTTTCTGCTGAAAGCTTTAAGCAAAAACAAAAAAGTACTATGAAAAAACCCAGAAGCACAGGCTTCTATATCGGAGATTAGGAAAGGAATAGAATATCAAAAAAAAAAAAAAGAAAGAAACACAAAGAATCCTCATACTTTAAGGTTCAGATTTTTAAAGGAAGAAGGCAGTGGACAATACTTAATATTCTTCTGTTTTTCTTCTTTAAATTAGCCAGACCTTTAGTTAGTTCACTTTCTTATTCAGAGGGCATTTCTATTTCCTCCCACCTACAGATATGAGAAGGTACATACATAAATTCAAAGTGATCACTCATGGTTGTGGTTTGTCTCCCCCAAGACTCAGGTTGAAATTTGGTTACCAGGGTAGTGGCATTGGGAAGGTGGGTCCTTTAAGAAGGATTGGTGTGTTTTCTCAAGACTGGATGCCACTTCTACAGATTAGTTTTTGAGAGAGTGGGCTGCTACAGAGTGGCTCAGTTCCCTCACTCCTTCCCTTTCCTTGCCCATGCTCACTTGCCATCCTGTGTCCTGCCATGATGTTAGACTGAAGAAAGGCACTCACTAGAAGGCTAGTGAATGGCAGCACCAGGCTCTTGACTTTCCAGTTTCAGAACTGTAAGCCCAAACAAATATTTTTAAAATTAAATTACCCAACCTTGGATGTTCTGTTACAGCAACAAAAAATGGACTAAGACTTTCCTAATATTTAAATCTCCAAGGTAAATGCTCTTTTTTGCCCCCAAGCACACCTTGGCTACCTGAAGTTGGAGCACCAGTGCAGTCAGATACCAGGCTGCTGCCACGCAATCTCCAGACCACAGTGAGAAGCTGGGAAGTTGAAATATTTCATGGCTAATCACAGACTCACGTCCAGTTGGCCCCAGGAGCCCTAGACATTCACTGAGAACAAAGCAATACTCCCTGCATTTTCAGAGACACTGAGGATACGGGGGTACCACACCTTCCCCATGCTGCTTTCTGGACACTGTGAGCAGGCCACTGCTGAGAACCCTGGCCTGCACATCCCACACCCCATCTGCAGCCTCGCCTCGATAGGAAATGAGAACTAGCAGCATCCCTTAAAAACACAGCCAGCCTCCATTGTCTTCAAGGATCGCACTTCAAAAACGTTCATGTGTACCTTTTTCATCCTTTTTTATGTAATTTTCTCTTTTGAGGCTGAGGTTATTTATCATTCTTCCCAAAACAGTTTTTTTGACACCAAGAATAAACTTGGCTCCTTATACATCATAGGATGCTACAGAAGATTCCATATGAATCTTCTGGCAACACTTTCCCTCCGCCCCCCAATGGCCACCACTTTTTACTCCCTACCCCAATGTCCCCAAACAAGAAACCCTTCAACATTCAGCAAACGTGGTCTCACCTTTCCAAAGAAATGCTGAGTGGCCACAGCCAGCACATCGAAGCCACAGATCGCCCTCCTCAGCTCGCCCTGCATGAGGCCGAGCTGCCTGGCCTGCCGCTCACACCTGTCCTTCAGCCGCTGGACCAGCTGTCGCTCAGCCTCCCGGGCTTGCACGTCGGGCTTGGGGGCAAACCCATTTCGAGGTGCTGTGGTTCTCTGCTTTGGGTACCCTATTTAAAAAAAAAAAGGGCAATTTGTTTTGATTTTGTTGTTTTGAGACAAGATCTTGTCATGTAGCCTAGGCTGGCCTCAAACTCATGATCCTCCTTTGTGCTTGGATCAGAGCCAGGCACCACCACACCAGCCAGCCCCATTCATTTGAGAAAAGACATTCCACACAAATGCGAGAACTGCTTCTGCTTACAGAAAGAGTTCATCAGGAGCAAGTGGAGAGAAGGAATAGCTCGTGGCTTGTAATTTTAAGTCTTAAAAAGCAAAACAAACAGGGACTTAACATTATTTACTCTGCTTACACGGGTCTAAGTGCAAGTTTTATACTTGGAAAAATAATAACACATAAAAATCACTAAATTTACTCTTCCTTCCAACACCTCCTCTAGACCTGCTTAGAGAGATGGAAGTAGGTAGGTGTGTTTTGTTTTTTGCTGCTTTTTTTTTTTCTTAAAGGGGATTACTCTTGGAAAGTGTCTAACGGGAAATGAATCAAACAATGCAGATAGAAGCCAGACTTATGACAACGCAACACCTCTCCATCGGGCACAGGAGGGTGATCCGTACCCATCCTTTCCTTTAGATGGTTGCTTTTGTGACACTTTTCTTCAATATAAGGTTTAAGTCACCACCCAGGTCATCTCTGCTCTAGGGACTTCTGACTAAATTTCAGCACAATGTTCTGACAGATCCCCTGTAACATGATCCCCCAATATGACTTCATACCACTTTCACAGCTAAGGTGTAGTCCAAGCCACACTCACCCTCACCTTGCTTCTTCTCATGCCTCACTCTACCACATTCAGAATGATCTTCACGGAGACATGAGACGTGAACCCTTTGTGTGCTCGCCTCTGTAGCAAGAAGGAAGCCCACACTCTTTACCCTGCCTGAAAAGTGCCTGCCAGGAAAACATGAGGTGCCATAGGAGCCAGGAGCTCCACCTGGGTTCAAGGGCAAGGTCAGGGGAGGCTTATGGAAAGGAGACTTTTGAAGTGAGTTTGAAGGAGGTAAGGAAGAATTCCAGGAAAGAGCACAGAGGCCCATCATGGTCAAGAGTTCATGGGTGAACAGGCATCTTCCTGGCATTGTCATCCAGAGGCTCAGAGAGACCTTGTACCCACAGACAGTGAGAGAACCTTGTGGGGGCCATGGCCTTACATCCCAAAGGTAGATTCTGCTCTTTGCTCAAGCAGGTCATCTGGTGACACTGACAGCACAGTCATGAATTCCCTTTCATATTTCAAGTGTTCTAATTTCTTCTTCTGTCTTTTCTCCCTTTCCAAAACATCAGGGAGAAAAACCACAAAACATCAGAAAATGACAGCTTTTCAATTCCTGGTACATCAACACCCAGGGCAGCAATGTGTTGTGAATACACAAGAGGCCTCATTTTTAAAGGGAAAAGTTGTTCGTGCATCTAAATAATTTTGATTGTTAATTTAATGGTACCGTGCTCATTTTAATTAAATCTTCTTCTCTTAACAATTCATCAGAGATGGCAAGGTGACCTCACATACAACATAGCTTATGTTATTGTGACTTATTCTCATTTTGCTGAATGAGAAATTAAAGCTTGTTAGAAACTATCTTTATGAGATCAGAGTACATAGTGTTCCAGAAACTTCACTCGCATGTTGTAGTTTTTCTCAGTTCAGAAAACAAAACAAAGATATAACTACCCCAAACCACCAGCAACAAAAGGCGAGCGATTTCACCACCTGAACTCTAAGACAAGTCGAAGCCCTAACTAAAGTAGACTTTTCCCCACAGTTTTTGACTGTCATTTCACTGTTGTGGCTGGTGCGTTTATGCAACACTCCAGTGCTTTAATTAATGAGTTGAGGCACCAGGTGTCTGACACCATTACAACAGAAAGAATTTCTCTGGGAAATCTGAAGGAAATAAGGAAACTTACTTCCAGCTCAGTAGGTTAAAGCTAATTGCCATTTATGGTACACAGAGCTGCCTCTGAGCTTGTGGACTTGGTGCACTCACACTGTCCCTATATTTTTAGCTGTCACATTTATTCCCTGGTAGACTCGCTCTTACAATCTACTATCTTTAAAATTATTAATATTATTATAAATTTTTATGGCGCTAGGGATTGAACCCAGTTCCTCACAGATGCTAGGCAAGCTCTCTACCAACTGAGCTACATCTTTAATTAAAAGTTATTATCACCGTTGTCTTCATCATCATCACCTTACTATACTCAGTGGTAAATGGATAGTATAAAAGGAGTCTGTACAGTCTTATTATTGGCAGTTACTTTGATATTGGTGTCATTATTATATTGCTTTTACTCACACACTCAGAATTCCAGTGTTCTTTTGAACACAGCAGAGTCAGCTCACATTTCTACCCCTAAGGCCACCCAACGACTGGTGTCCTGAGCCAAGACAGAGGCTCCCCTAAGAACATCAGTTTTTGGGATCAACACATCAAACAAAAGTTTAGCTGCTTTGTGACACCAAAGTACCTTATTAAACCAGTCTTTTTTGGGACCCCTGGTTGGCTTGTACCATGACACACATTCACTGTCATGGCATGATGAAGGAAGGCCCAGTGCCCAGAACTAAGACTTCAAGAAGGAAAAGCTGAGAAGTGAAGTTGGTTGTGGAGTTCTCTGCTGCCTTTAGTTGAAAAGGGCCCCATCATCTCCTAAATACACTTGGTCCTCTGTGTCCACAGGTTCTGTATCTGAGGAACTAACCAACAGCCAATGGAGTTTTTTCCTCTAAACGATATGGTCTAGTAGCTATTTACATAGCACTTACATTGTAGATATTACAAATAATCTAGACATAATTTAAAGTAAACAGGTAGATTGTGTAGGTTCTCTATAAACACAATGGCATTTTATTTAAGGGACTTTAGCATCTGCAGATTTTGATATTAAAGGGGGATCTTGGGACCCATCCCCCATGGACCCTGAGGACAACTTTCTATCAAATTTAACTGTGCCTAGGACTAGTAATTATTTTTACTGTTGGTGGCATATTTTTAAACTTCACTAAAACAGTATTTTAACTCCTTTCATGTCCAACCACTTGTCAGACCTAAAAAGGATGATCCTAAAGTGGCTTCCATGCCACCTTGGGGACAGAGACCTTATGTTGAAAGTAGACAAAAGACAGTTATGCAGACTGTGTCATCTGTAGCAGAGCAGGTGTCTGCTCTTGCTTTCTTCTCTCAAAGCCAGCACATAAAGAAGCAAAGATGCCAATCTGCTTAGGAAGTAAGGGGCTAGTTGGGTGAGCAGATGGAAAGCTACTGCAGGGTGATGGAGCCCACAGAGCTCACAGGTGCTAGGGTAGTAAGGGTGGCGTGACCACTCCTGACCTCTGATGCTGTGTTTCTCAGGAAAAGCCACATGCAGACTTTGCAGGAGGGGCATGCCATGTCCCCTGAAGTCACCTCAGACTTGGGATACTTATCACTATCTCTTCCTTGCCCCTGTCAGTACTGAGGCTGCTTTTGCTAAGGGTTAAGGGTCAAGGCCGCCATGCGGGCAGGGAGAATGTACTCATCTGTGTGTGGACTTCCCAAGAAATCCAAGCTCTGGTCTCCTGTAACAGTGCTGATCTTCCTGATTTTCACCTGGAGGGATGAGGAGACTGAGATGAATGGATAAAGATCTCCAACACAGGGCTTATTGATGGTTTTGGAGTCTTTAAATAAAGTGAAAGATAAAGTGGAAACATCACTTTTGGACTGATTGGCTCTTATACACTTCCCAGCTATTTAAAAATTTATATTTATTTTTAACTGATAGATAAAACATGCAAAAATGCTCTATAGATACATGAATACATTGTATAATGTTTAAATCAAGGTAAATATATTATCTTCTCAAACATTTATCATTTCTCTGTGGTGAAATACTCAAAATCCTTTCTTCTAGTTTTTCTCCCCCCTTTTTTTTTGAGGTAGGATTTCTCTCTCTCTCTCTCTCTCTCTCTCTGAGGTTTGAACTTAGGCCTAGTGTTTGCTAGGCATGCACTCAACCACTTGAACCATGCCTCATCCCTCTTTTAGCTTTTTTGAAATACACAGTAGATTACTGCCATCTGTAATAACAGTAGTTGATTGTACATTAGCACACCAGAGCTTCTTACTCCTGTCTAACTGTAACTTAGTGCCCACTGACCAATTTCTCTGTATCCTTCTCTCCTCTGTGTTCTCCCCACCTTCTGGTAACCACCATTCTACTCTCAGCTCCTATGAGATCAACTTTTTTAGATTTCACACAAGTGAGATCATAAGGTACTTGTTTTTCTGTGCCTGGATTATTTCACTTAACATAATGTTCTCTAATCATTTATGCTATTGTTAATAACAGCATTTCATTCTTTTTTTATGGCTGAATAATGTTTTGTTGTATATGCAGATAGCAGAATGTTTCATATATATATTATATATATATATATATATATATACACATATATATACATATATCTCACATTTTCTTATCACTCACCTATTGACCAACACTTAGGTTGACTCCATACCTTGGATATTGTGAATAGTGCCACAGTAAACATGGGAGTGTAGCTTTTGTTTCAACATACCTATTTCATTTCCTTTGGATATATAAGCAGTAGTGGATTGCTAGATTATGTGGTAGTTCCATTTCTAATATTTTGAGGGACCTCCATACCGATTAACATAATGGTATACTAATTTACAATCCTATCAGCAGTGTGCAAGGGTTCCCTTTTCCCAACTGTAAAAGAACCTCATTCCCAATGATCTCTCCCAGATGAGCCATATGACAGTGTCTTGCCATGACTATAGACAGCTGACTTCATATGTGTGCTTCATGTCATGTGTTTTGTGGGGAACCAAAATATCTGACCATTTTATTGGGCACTTCCTCTGTGACTGGTTTAAGGCCCAGTGGGACAGGCAAAGGTTTAAAGCCTTTCCTTGGCCTCTAGCCAACCATTATCTGACAGGGGCCAAGCCAGGTCAGATCTGACTCCCTGCCCTCAGGGTTCTTCCACGT